AAGCCGCCCAGAGTCCCCTATTGTGGGGGCGATGGGCGGGGGAGAAATCCAATAAAATAAATAAAATAAATGTATATGTTGCCCAACTCCCAGCAACTCTGGGCAGTATAATTTTTCCACTGCCAATTGAGCAAAGAAAGAGATCAGCTTCCCCCCATCTGGAACAGCCATGAGTTGGGGCTGATGGGAGTTATTCTCCAACATTTCTGGAGGGGTGCAAATTACTAAAGGTTGGGCTTTGTGCCCATGGTTCCATCTTCCCCAAATAGGAGCTCTAAAGTCTTGGTCCAATGGTGGAAAAGACCCTGTACCTAAATCCACATTAACTTCATTGGTCCTTCCAAGACCAAAACCAGTTTCTCCCGAAGCCCAAAGAACAGCTACCAGTGGGCTCAACAGAACAAAGCTTTGAAGCAGCACTGAATGTCTTTTAGGCCAGTGCTCCTCAACCTTGGCCGCTTTAAACTGTGTGGACTTCAACTCCCAGAATTCCCCAGCCAGCTTAAAGCGGCCAAGGTTGAAGAACGCTGTTTTAGGCAACAAGAACGTAGTGAAGAATGAAAATCAAAACATTACTCCCAACACAAAAGAGGCCAACTGAACACAATTTTGGAAATACAGAACTTGTCAAAAGAGGGCAGGGAGGTGTCAAAGCCAAGAGAGGGGGCTCTACGGCACGGCTGAAGCCTCACTCCTTTTTCATGCGCATCACCGCATGCTCCTAACGGGAGTAGAATGGAGCCTCCAGAAGAAGCCTGGTCCACGTGCTAAACAGGAGCAAGCGGACCTCAAGCTGGTTAACCTGATTTATAATGCACAGAACTCACATCGTGGAAATCACTTGCTTCCGGGTGTTACAGGAAGAAGCAAAGGAATCATACAGAGTCCTAAAAAGGCATCCTGCTCGATCATTACTAGTGGAGAAGCAAAAGGAGAATTTCAGGAACAGGGAATTCCTCTCCACCCACTGACCGAGCAACACTTATTTATTTAATAATACAATAAATTTTTAAAAACCTTTAAAAAATGTATAGGACCACCCATCTCACTGAATATGACTCTGGGCGGCGTACAACCAACAATTAAAACAATATCACAGCTGTTAAAAAAAATCTTAAAAATATAAATAAAAGCAAGATTGAGGGAGAAGGACATTCATCCAAATACAATATAACCATCACACAGGCTCCCCGTGGGATCCTCAAGGCGGCTGGAAAAGCCACATTTTCAGGGCCTTTCGAAAGGCTAACAGGGATGGGGGTAACCTCGGGGGGATGATGTTCCAGGGGGCAGGAGCCACAGCAGAAAAGGCATGCTGTCTGGGTCCTGTCAGACGGAACTCTTTAGCACAGGGTTCCTCAACCTTGGCCACTTTAAGATGGGTGGACTTCAACTCCGAGAATTCCCCAGCCAGCAAGCTGAAGTCCATCCATCTTAAAGTGGCCAAGGTGAAGGAACCCTGCTTTAGCAGACGGGACCCGCAATATACCCCTCCTGCCGGATCTGACGGGAGGGGTAGATGTGATAAGAAAAGGCAATCCCTCAAATAGGTCCCTTGGTCCTACCTTACCTTTGGAATCGCTCCTGCTGTTCCCGCTGCTTCCGGATCTCGGGGAACTGCTTCTCGTAATACTCCCGTGTTTTGCTTTCCTTGGCCTTCCTGCGGGGGTTATTCTCAATCCGGTCCACCTTCTTCTCCCATGCTTCCATTAGTTGGTCGTAGCGCTGGCAGATCTTCTGCTCCTGGTTATTTCCCAAAGACCCAACACACACAGACAAATACACACACAGAAAAGGCTCATGAGATATAAACTCCCTCTCCCACCGGATTCAACACAACAATTCAAATGGAAAGATAGAAGATAGAAGGTTCTGGGCAACTTCCGAGAGGGACCAAAGCTTAGTGGTGCTGTGCCTGCTTTGGTCTGCATGCAGAAGACCATAGGTACAATCGTTGACACCTCCAGATAAAAGAGGGACGGGGACCCATGGGATTTTCTACAATATTGGCATGTCCCCAGGTTCTCAGCTTTGAGTTCCACCAACCCTTTACAAGTAAAATGAATGGGTGAAGCCTTCAGAAGGCATCCATTTAACTTCTTTTAAAATGAAGACACCAACAAGTATAAAAGAGTGGGCTATAAAGGTACGGCACTAAAAGGAAGTCAAAGATGTGGAGAAGACTCTTTGGTTGGAGGCCCTGGAGACACGGAGTCAATGAGAACTCAAAATACAGCTAGCAACACAAAATACTGCACTTCCCAGACTGTTGAGTTTCTAACAAGGTTATTCAGGACTCTTGGTCCATCTTCTCATGACAAGGGTAAGATGGAAGAAAAACGATTTGCCAGAGCAGTGTCACTCACACTCCTGCTAAAGCTCCAAGGTCTTCATAGGGACCAACATACCCAGCCCAGCCAAAGTCCCTGCCTATGCAAGCATCACATCAAAGTCAAGATGGTAACTTTGAAAAGAGCCTTCTAGCTCCTTCAAAATTGACCAATGTATTATTACGAGAGCCTTGTGAATCACAGTCCACTTCATTTGTGGGATCCACAGAAGGTTCCTTACCTAATCAGTCCATTCACACCTCCTCCTCTGAAAACTCTTCTAATTTTGAAAGTTCCCTACATTTAATCTATCTATTTATTTATCAATCAATCATCCATGCAACAATCATTTCTTGCTCTTTTCCTCTCTCCAGACAACAACAAACATCCCTTAAGGAAGCAAAGCGTTCTGATTTTCTGCTCTTGAACTGTATTTTTTACAAGCTAGTTCCCATGTTTCCATTTTGTTTCTTGTTTTAACAGAGGGAGAAACATTCCTGTGCCCACATCCCATGCACAGCTTCAAGTATTAGGTGTGTTCTACTGAAGGACCACTAAAACCTGGAGGGCTGGAAAGAACATCCCAGAGCGAGGGCAGTCAGGAGGTCAGGAAAGCAAGAGAGCCCGAACCCAGATCATTCGCTCATCTACCTCAGCCTTCCCCAGATGCCATGACAGCTGAGAATTAAGGGTGCCGAACCCCAAGACATCTGGAGGGCAACAGGCTGGAAAAGGCAGACCTCAACTATTTCCTCTGATTGACAGCAACTCTGATGGGGACATATTTTGCTGGATTTCTGGGAGGTGTGCAGGGGCAAGAGGAGTGACAACTTGTGTCTGGCAATTCATGAGGAGTTACAAAACACAACCATACCCTTTGCTTCCTGGCATGATTCCGCCTCTTGAAAAACAAGATGAGTTTTTTCCTCATAACTTGGTTCCTAAAAAGAAGGGGGGGGGGAGATGAGAGGTGAGACCAGGTTTCATCTGTTCTAATCACAGCCTTTTCTCTGTTTTCAACAAGTTTCACATCAGAAGTTTTATCCTTCACTTACAAGTGGTGGCACATTCTATTTTGGTACATGTGCTTTCGTACAAAAAAAAAAAAAAAGACAAGTTGTGCTAACAAAAGTGTTCAGAAGGTTTGAGAGTGCTGGGAAGAAGTCACAAGCGGTTAAAATCCTGCCTGCCAAAAGACTATTAATAATTAATCCCCAGTCCTTGGCATCAGCAGTGCAGAGAAAAAGTTCATATTCCTGAAAATGCTACTGATATAAGCCCTAATTTAGGCATGAGAACCACAAGAAAAAAAAAATCTCACTGTGGAACAGCCAGGATGTACAAGATTTCTTCTAAAACATGGATGCCCCATGCTCAGCGCATCCAACTTGGGATGACGGTTGTTCCATAAGAACACAAAAACTATCCCACTGGATCCAATCTATTTGTCCAGCACAAAAGCAGCTGGCCAGAAATTTGGGGAGAGTAGAACTAGGAAGGCATGGAGGCTATTCACGCCCAGGCTCTGGGCGTTCTTGAGATAGAATGCAACTTTATATGAGGTTTCTGGGGAGACCTCTCCTTTTTGAACCAAACCCTTTGCGCTTTAAGTCAATCACCATCTCACTGTCTTGCAGCGTTGAATTTCAGCAGGTACTTGTGCCCTTCCTATCCTCTGGCCTCGCACGCACCCGCCCGCTCAACAGACAATTCCTTGAAATCTTGGCCTCTGCTCCATTCTTAAAACAACGATCCAGGTTTTTTCTCAAGCTGATTCTTCCCTTTCAAAAAGTGACCACATCACCATCAAAGTCCAAAACTGGGCTACCCTCCTCAGGCTACTCCATCCAGGTTCCTTGGATGTGTATTACTGGGTATGCCAAAAAAGTTATTTGTGGAATTCCCTTGATGCTACTGATCGATATAAGTAGCAAAGCAAGCCTGTCCTGATTTTACTTTTTCCTCCACGAGGGCTAGTGCAGGAAGCCTAAATGCTCGAAACAAGGGACAAGATGGTACCAGCGTCCCTCCACCACTGTTTAGAAAGCATTTTAGCATTTTGTAAAGCATTTAGAGAGAGACCACCTCTCCCCAAATTCTTAGCCAGTCTAGCTTCTGGCTGGGAATTAGAAGAGCTGGAGCCCAGCACATCAGCAGGGTGCCTGGTTGGAAAAGGCAAAACTAATCCAGAGCTTAAACTAACCATATTTTCCAGTTCCCACATAACAACAGAGAGCGGTTAGTTTAAGTAGGAAGCAGATGCTTTCAGCCTCCTCTTCTGGTGTGTGTGAAAAAAAGAAACACGAGAGCCTGAATCAGCAGATCTTTCTGCACGATGGGGAATTATATTCTAGCATTACAGATGGGCTGGGGACAGTGTCAGCAAGACATAGTTAAACTGCTTTAATAAAAACTGGGAGTTTTAAAAAGGGCCAGCCAGAGAAAGTTGGAGCGTACGGGAAGCCCTTCCCACCTGCCAGGAATCATCATCTTTATTACTTACGGTCATTAACCAACACAAAGCAAATCTTCTCTAACCTTAGAGCTACAGACCGGCAGGATTAAAATGAATAAAAAGGGTACATACAATGTTAGCTAAAAGGAGTAGAAGGAATAAAAAGCGTTAGGACAAACAAGTCAGAATACTGTAAGGATAAACTTATAAACAAAACAAAAAAATGGAGACAGATGCCGTTAAATAAAACAGCAAAGCTGAAAAGGATTTAAGCCTCTGGCAAACCCTGCCAGAACACAATAACTGGAAGGATAAGTATGAAACGAGGCACACATTCCATCTCAGAAAATGAGATCTTTCCAATCAAGGTTTGGAAGAAATATTAGACAGAGCAAGGCTCTTACGTTTTGATGTTTTCATGGTACACTTTTGTGTCTGAAGGCTGGTTGTAAAGAGGCTGCAGAAAGAGAGAAAGATATTTAACTGTCTTTATGCCTGAAGGAAGCCGAGTCAGCACACGCTTCTCTCGCCTCATGGAAAACATGCTGGTGATCTACCCACAAGGAGGGTTTTCCCCATTTATCGGCCCATATCCAGGATCTCCAATGTGTTGGAAAGAATATAAGTACAAGTAGAACACAGAGGGTGGGTTCAAGTGGCAGGTCTTTTTCACAGTAGTCCCCACACACTGTCCTTTCTCCTTGCAATTCACAAGGCAGCAAAACCAGAATTCTTCCAATGGGTTGTGAGTACTCATCTTGGGGTATGTATGTTTTGGAGCTTGAATACTGTGATTATTGGTGTTTTTTGTTTGGTCCCTGCTTTGTTGTTCACTGTCCAAAGTCTTAAAAGAACAGGTGCGGTCCAAATATTGTAAACAGACAAGCATTTTGGGGACATTCACTGGTCAACATTCACATCCTCTGGTCAAGGCGTACGTTAGTCGAAAATCACGATCTTTCTATTGCCAGCTCATGAGTGGGCAACCCACGCCTACAGGGTGCTGCATAAATCCATCTATACACACTACTGACTGCTCGGCCTCATTTTTCTGCTCACGCAGCTGATCGATAATCCAGAAGGTACAGACTGAAGCAAAGGAGTCATCTTACCTGCAGCCCAGCCCACTTTTCCGTACTGTACCTCCAAGCCCAGCCCAATTTCCCCAAAGTTCAACAGCACAGGGAGGAGGAAGTGGGAAAAGGGGTGGATTCTGTTTGCTCTCTTCCACAGTTCCTCTCCCTGGCCAGGCGGGGCATGGCTAAACTAACCAGAAATAAACTTAGTATTGTCCCAGGCTAGGGCTGCTGGCCAGAAACTCCAAACAATATCTCAAGCTTCGTATTTCTGTTCATCCAGGTCCTTCCGGGACTGGAAGGAAAGAAATGAGAAGTGAAAAAACCGGAAGTCCCGTCTTTCCAAAAGGCCCCGTTCTCAGCTGAGAAGCAACTTGTAAGCGACCGGTGCAAACTATTATTTTTATGTTCGTCCCCTGTGAGCAGGTGAACCAGGGCAACCGTTTCCAACCCAAGCAAAATGGTTAGCCACAGACCTTTGATTCTCTTACTGCTTTCAAAGAAAGGTCGCAGCCCACGAGGAGGAAAAAGGCGAACAAGACCCTAGGAAGAAAAAAGGAGGACACTCACCAGCTCCACCTTGGGGCCCAGCCCTTCGAAAATCTTATGAGCTTCCTCTGCCTTTTTCTGCAAGGGAGGCAAAAAAAAAAAAAAGGCTGTTTATCCAGAAGATCAGATGAATGTTTGTAAAGTCTCAGTAATTCAGTGGAGAATATTCTTTTAGATCAACGTCTCCACTGAATGCTCTAAGACAGGGTTCCTCGACCCTGGCAACTTTAAGACGGGTGGACTTCAACTCCCAGAATTCCCCAGCCAGCAAAGCAAA